TTTCCCTCAGTAAAATATAGAGTCCTCGGAAGCAGGGACTATACCTTGTTTATTTTGGTAACCCCAATTTCACCAACAGTGCCTAACAGAGTAGATACTCAGCAAATGTTGCTTATTCTTTTATTTGTTCCTAAACCTTGGCCTCAACTTGGCAATCCTTGGAAAGGCAACAATTTTGTCCTGAGATCACCAGTGACACATCTCTAAGATGGAGCTACCTCCAATTCCTCTCCTTTCTTCAAGGTTCAGGTCCCACGTAATTCATAAAACCTTCTCTGATTTCCCCAGCCCAAAGATAACTCCCTTTTCTACAGTTCTAAAGACTGTACTATCTAATCATATATTTGACATGAATAGACTATCTTGGACTATTTATTACCTATTCATTTTAAATCCAAATCTAGATATACCTTATTCCCTCAACTAAATTAATTTCAAGGACAGAATAATGGCTATATTTGTGTCCAAATACATAACAAAGTGCTCTGCACTCAATAAGTGTTCACTGATAAAAATAAAGACAAAGATGATAAAGGTAATACGAAGCCAGTTTTGCATATTTTTCTATCAGGTATTCATTCAAAGGCATAGCAATGCCTTTGAAATTTCCTGATCAAAATAAGGAGTGGGTAACTGTCACAGCCAAAACTAACAAAATGATATTATTACTAACTAAAGAGTATTTTACTGTCACCCAACATTTTGAGTAGGACTATATATATGTGTATATGTATAAAACCAATCCAAGATAATGAAAATATAACCAAGAAGTATGTGAAGAGGTAGGATTACACCCTCAAAAAATGATTATTTAATATCATGAGCAATCAAAACTATATGACATAGTAACAAAAGATGTCACAAAACAGTATGCCCCCAATTTTTTTTTAATGGGCATATAATGTGTAATGTGAATGTGCATCTATGTTTGTGTATTTATATAGGTACACTGGAGGAAAGGGAATAAAGAAACAAACACTAAAATGTTAGTAATTACTAAACAGTAAAACTACAGATGATTTTTACTTTCTTCTTCATGTTTTTCTCTACTTTCCAAATCAGAAACACATACCTAAATACAATGAATAATTTTCTTAAAATAAAAGAAAATTGAGAAATTTTGTCGTTGATGTTAAAATAAGCCAATTTTGTCGTTGATGTTAAAATAAGCCAACAATCTCAACTTAGTCTAGTGAGCAACATAACAGAGTTACAGAACAAAGTTATTTCTTAAGGTTAAACTCAGTCTCTGAAAGTATTTCTTACCTATTCTGCACTAACCACCCTCTTAGTTAAGTAATAGTTATACAGCAATAGTATAAATAAAAGGCTCTATTCAGAGGAAGGGACAATGAAGATACTATCATTAGTATCCAGAATGTATCATGTACAAATTCATTTCCTTTGGACATAGTCAAAAATCCATGTGTAAAGCCTTTGATCTCATTAAATTTTTAAATTACAGACCCTGGCTGACAAAAGGTAAAAGACCAATTCATATTTTGCACTTTCTGAAAAACTTGCCTCATACTGAAATTTATTAATCTGGACATAAAAAGTACAAATCTACTTAACAGACAAATGTTAATGTTAAGTTAACACAAAAAGTTTCCCATTTAGAAAGATCGAGAGATTCAAAGGTTTATTCTAAATTGGGAACACTATCAAAACAACATAGCACAGCCACTCTGGAAAACAGTTTAACAGTTTCTTTAAAAACTAAACATTCAACTACCATACAACCTGGCACCTACACTTCTGGGCATTTATCCCAGAGAAATAAAAACTCATGTTCACACAAAAACCTGCACATGAACATCTATAGCGGCTTTATTTGTATCAGCCAAAAACTGGAAACAAGCCAGATGTTCTTCAATGGGTGAAAAGTTAAATAAACTAGTACAGCCATACCATGATATACTACTCAGCAATAAAAAGGAATGAACTACTGATATACCGAACAACTTGAATCTCCAGAGAATTACGTTGAGTGAAAACAGCTAATGACAAACAGTATGTACTATATAATTCTATTTATACATCAGTCTTGAAATGATTATAGAATTTTAAAAATTACAGAAATAAAGAATAAATTAATGGTTGCCAGAGGTTGAGGAATGGGAGGTAAGGGTCAGAGGGAAGTAAATGTAGCTGCAAAAGGGCAGCATGAAGGATCCCTGTGAAGGAAATGTTCTCTATCTTGACTACAGGAAATATCAATGTAAATATCCTAATTTTGATACTACTACAGTTTTGTAAAATAATACTATTAAGGGAAACTGGGTAGAGAGTAACATGAGATCTCTCTATTATTTCTTACAACTGCATATGAACCTATGATTATTTCAAAATAAAAAGGTTAATCTTAAAAAAAATACAGTATTTTTAGGGCATTTTCCAACATTGATTAATCAAAATCAAATATCTTCTCTCCAGGAATTTCCAATCTAAACGAGGCAACACAAAAAAAGTTTATGGGAGTTTACTTAGAATTTAAGATAAGTGTGTAAATACATATAGTATTTCAGTATTAAAGTATCACCATGTGGTAGTATAGAAAAGCATGTGTATGACTAAAAGAAAAAAAAATGCATTAAAACTCAAATCTATTCTAGTATGCAGATGTAATATTTTTAAGTTTTTTACAAAATCAGAAAGGAAAGCAGCACCTAGCATAGTTCGGTGCTACTATTATGGTTTCCACAGCACCCTATAATTCATCTTCCAGTACTTCTCAAACATTATTTCTATCGTGACTTTTCCACTAGACAGCAAACTCCGTAAGTACAAGGACTGTCTTCATCTTGCCTTCCAGCATATAGCACAGTAACTGACACATGATAAGAACAGAGCAAAAATTAAATATTTTAAAACTGAAATAAGTTGCTGAATACAACCCTGAACTACATTCCCTTGTTACAAAATTCAAAAACCTATCCTTAGGTAAACACATAATTAATTCATCTTTCCATAGTTGAATTTTTCAATGTCGCCTATCAATTCTATTAAACAACTTTAAAAGGTTTTAATACAAATATGTTTTTAAAATATGAACTTGACAATGAAAATCATATAAACTTGATTATATATTTACAGTAAATATAGACTAGACAACATTAATTTCAATCCTGAAAACTTAGAAATTTAGAAGCCTAGCTAATTACAGTATTAAATATATTCAGTATTTAGACAGAATGAATGCTATTCTGATTCCAAGAAAACTGTGCATCATAAAAGCTCATTTAAATCTTTTTTGCCACAAGAAGTTAGCAACAGAAGCAGAGTATGAAATGAAATTAAAGATATATATAGAGATATATACAGATATAGATATATACCCTATCAAAGATGAAGATCTAATCTTTAAGGAAAAAAGAGTCATGAAGGACACAGGGCCGTGAATCATCTTCCTCCTGAAGTAAGTGCAATTCAGTCATATATGACAGGAATAAACCAGAGAGCATCAAAGCTATTTTAAACATTTAAGTCTATCCTTTAAAACAGAGACAGAAAATATTCTCAAATTTAAGTAGGTTTTCTTTTTTTTTTTTTAAGGGAACTTGATTCAAAAAAACAAACAAAAAAGGTTAAAAAGTGCATGGAAAAACCTTGAAAGCAAAAAAAAAAGAATTACTCACCAAGTTGGCCATATAAATTGTGAGCAGCCCTCTCCTGCAAATAATTTTAAGAAGAGACAGCGTGAGACTAACCATTAATTTGACTCAATAATCACTTTAACATTTTTTTAGAAATCTACCAAAACAATTATCAGAAGTTGTGGAAAAGGAATAGATTATGCTGATCTAAGTTTTCAGTACCCTAATAGTTGGCTGTAAATAGATTCTACAAGTCATTCTAATCTGTAGTCATTAAACACTCTGTTTAATGCTCGTTAATTAAAATTCTTTAAAATTACTATTGCCTAGTAATTGTTAACTAGACTTACTGTGATAATCATTTTGCAATATACACCAATATCTAATTATTATATTGTTCACCTGAAACTAATATAATGTTATATGTCAATTACATCTCAATTTTTAAAACTACTAATACCTTATAATTTATTAACAGGAAGAGAGGTACAATTTGCTATTATTCTGTGTTTATGCTAGAGAATTCTAAGTTTAAGGAAGAATCCTAACAAATTCATCTTGCCAAAAATGTCAAGGCCATATCAATTTTAACCAAATGCATATTTATTTTAAAAAACAGATCTTCTATTTGTTTCACACACAACGCAACTGTTCATTAGATGCCATTACAAATCATACAAATCACCTTGTTTTAATTTCATTGTTAAGTGAAAAGTCAGGCAGTAAGTTAATCCTCTAATGCCAAAGGACAAACAAAAGCTCTATAAACACTCACTTTACAGAAAAACTGCATATTTACTAAATGCATATTTACTCTTACTTAATGAGAATTCATCTAGAAACTCAAAGATAAGGACAATTTTATGCCCTTAATCACTTTATTTAACTTATCTGCACATGAGACCATAAATGAAACATATCCTATCCTCTAAGAAACAGGTCTTTAATGTTTTAAGAGTTCAAGGGCAGAGTTCAAATAACAAACTCTGAAAATTATAAAAACTTATTTGAGTTTCAGTTATGAACATTTTTTTAGAACTCAAAGAAACTACTACTTTATATATAAAAGAAGCAACAATATCACATCACTTTCACTTAAATATCATGCCAGGTCTTGATATTAACATCATCAATCAAATCTTCTTGATGTCAGATCCAGTCATACAAAGTCTTGATTGCTCATCATTTAACATAGCTTAATAGGATTTTTAATTTACTAAAGCCACATGGAGGCATGTGATATAAGTGAACAATGCTGAAGTGAAGTTCTGAAATCAGGGTTCCAGTTAACTTTAATTCTCTGGTACCCTGTAATTCTGTCATAAAAATAAGGGAACAAAACTAGTTATCTAACTTACATTTTCAAACATAAAAACTACTTAAAGAAAAAAACTTACATTTATCAGCAATATATAAAACATATCATTGGGCCACCCTGGTTGAAAGGAGGAGGCGGTCTAGGCAATACCCACTGGGCCACACACCCCCAGCCATGTCCCTCTTCAGCAGGTCCTAATGCACCTCGGCAGAACAAGACAAGTCTAATGACCTTCTAAAAACAACTTCAGAACCAGTGATAAGATGATCTGTAAGGTCCCTTTCAGTTCTTCTTTTCTATGATTGTACATACGAATTGAAATTGTTCTCACTAAACCTTACCAATCTTATTAGTCCCTACCAAATTCTAAATCAAAGATGTTCTAATAGTACTTATTTTAAATAAATTATATCAAGAAAAGTTAGGGTAACATCATCATCCAAGAGTCACACATACACAGAAAAGTTCAATTCTTCTCAAGTGATACCTATTCTTACCAACAGCTGGTTACGTATGAAGAAAAAAATAATATTCTTCATTACAAAACCAAAATAAAATATTTCTGTAATTTCAGTGGTAGTCCCTGAAAATACTGTTCATTATGAAGTGAACTAATGTATGATGCTATCTTTAAAAACATTTGTTCCAATAATCTCATTCTGCCTCTAATATTAACAGTAATCCAGCTCCAGAATCATCACTAGCTTCCATCTATAACTGTCTACCTTTACTGAGCAAAGATTATCTTGTTAACCTTTACATTTTCACAGACCTGCAATAATAGTACCTGGCATCTATAGACACTAAGAAAATGGTAGAATTACTAAGCAAGGTGTTACTAGGAACCCAGTTTTATAAAAAGGAACACATTATAAACATGTATTATAGAAATATAATCACAAAAGATAGCCACCAGACACAGCAAGGGCCAATTAATGATACTAATTTATTAGCAAGCAAAGACGTGATCTGTTTGTCATACATTTGTATAAAATTTAATAATTTACAAGGTATAATTAATACTTTGAAATCAGATTTTATCCTCTCACTAGTTCTACGAAGTGTAACACAGCTACTACTGCCCTCACTCTGTTGAAAACCAAGAATCAAAGAAGTGGCTTCCTTAAAAATACAAAAGCAGCAAAAAGCAAGTTCGTCTGACTCCAGTTTCCCGTTCTTTCCAATGCACTGCTTCTACAGCAGAAAATCTTTACGTTACTAAGTTACCTTTATTTTTTTATTTATTTATTGATGTAATTTTGGCTACACTGGGTCTTTGTTGCTGCACGCGGGCTTTTCTCTAGTTGAGGCGAGCGGGGGCTACTCTTCGTTTTGGTGCACAGGCTTCTCATTGCAGTGGCTTCTTTTGTTGTGGAGCACAGGCTCTAGGCGCGCGGGCTTCCGTAGTTGTGGCAAATGGGCTCAGTAGTTGTGGCTTGCGGGCTCTAGAGCACAGGCTCAGTAGTTGTGGTGCACGGGCTTAGTTGCTCCGCGGCATGTGGGATCTTCCCCGACCAGGGCTCGAACCCGTGTCCCCTGCATTGGCAGGCGGATTCTTAACCACTGCGCCACCAGGGAAGTCCTAAGTTACCTTTCAATACTAAAATTCACTGACTTGTTTAATATGCTGTCCTAGCAGGCTTCTGTGTGATGAGGATGAACAAAGCCTTGACACATTCTTACTACTGGGAAAAACTGAGGATGCATCGTTATTAGATTATGTCCTATTCTGGTCTCAAGTTTCAATTTATCCTTCCCAAACAATGAAGAAGATCACCTCCTTCCCAGCTTTATCTGAATTCCAACCCAAAGCTAGCCTCAAGAATGAGAGGGCAATGCCTGTGATGGGCATGATATGTTGGATTACATAGCCAGACTCTTTTTGGTGCCTTTACCTGGTACGTCTTTAACCTCCATTCCAAAGTCAACTTGGTAGGTTAGAATATGAGAACAGTGATTTAACACTTCTCCGGAGATGTTCAGTATCATAGGAAATAGATAAGCTAATTAAATACCAATTTTATTTAACACTTGACTGTATCTAGCCTAGGTCTGAAGACAAACAAGTCACTCCCTTCCTAGTGCATAAATTCTCTCTGGAAACCAAGTTATATGTTATAAAACACTGCTTACAACAGTGATGGGGAAGGGGGAGGTGCCAATTAGAACAAAAGGTGGCCTAGAGGAAGGGCTGGGGCAAGGAGGACAATAACTTTTTAAACTTCACAGGAGACTGATACACAAATACTCCCATTCTGCTGAGAATCACTAGATTAGAAGACTGGTGAAGCTCAGTGAATAAGCAGTCTAAAGTTAGTCGAGTATTTCTTTAAACTACAGATAAGCTTCTTTTTTCTTCTTTTCTTTTTTTGATGGGGAAAGGGGGTGAATCTTTTAAACTTGCATGAAAAATGTAAGTGGGTGTGCACATCAAAGGGTACTATCTAAAAAAGTATTAAGAACCACTGCTGTAAGAACTAACTCTTTGTAATCAGAGTATCACTACTCCTGCGGGAAAATATTAAAATAATTAAATTTTCTTAACATCTCAGTAGATTAAAAGGTATCCTCACATTCTACTGAAATTCCAAGGATTATCTTCTAACGACATTATTTTGTCTCAGATGAACAATAATGCTTTTTTTCTGGAAACTTTAGTATAAATATTCTTTAGCTAACTTTCTCAAACTTCTGAATGATACCGTATATAACACATTTCATAACTAAGGTCACTACAGAATACAGAAAGAATGGTGTAACCTCTAAATTCTAAATATTTATATATTCTATGTATATATATAAAATATGTGTGTTCTGTGTTCTATGGATAAGGAGAAATTAAAGATTAAAGAAAAACAAAGTGATTGTTCTTAAACATTGTAATGGTTACCAAGAGATGTTATTTAATCATTTCAGAAAGTCTTTCAAAATATAATAGATTTTATCTGTCAGCATGTTGTAGAAGAGTATAAAATACTTCTTTAAGGTATAAGAATGGATAAGGTAAACTTGCAGTCTAGAGCAAGAGTCTATAATCACATTCTATTATATATAGTGGATAATACAGAGTAAGCTTTTCAGAAGACTGCAAGGTAATTTAATTTTCTTCCTGTGAACATAACACTGAAACTTGAAGATCCCAAGAATTTATAGGCCAGTTTATAAGTATTCTTTTATTCACATATTATATAGTTGATTCATTTTGGTCATATCTGCTTGGGACTTTCATAACTACAACAGTGTAATTTAACAACTCAAGCCATGAATATGCTTAGAATAAATATGCAATTTTTGATACCTTAATCCACGTCCATGTTTGAGCACCCTGCAGTTTCAACTTACCTAAACTAATACTAAATATCAAAGCAAATCCATAGCAATTCTACAAAACAAAACCCATCAGAACAACTTCTCTCTGAACCACAAACAAAGCACTTCCTAGAAAAAGAAAGAGAAGACTAGTTCTTAACAGCCCACCTAGGGATAAAC